CAACAGAGAAAATGCAAAATTGAAGAAATTCACTTACGCATAACCAAGGAATGTAAAATAGACAGGTAATAAAATAGACAGGTCTTATAGATAATAGGTGTTATAGGTATAGTCAGCTAGATCAGCTCAATAAGTTTTATAGACTTTATAGTTGTTATGTTACTGTATCTTAAATTAATCTTATTCATATATGTATACAGGTAGTCCTTCGCTTACAATCATTCATTTACTGACCATTTGAAGCACTGAAAAAAATGATTTATAACAAGTTTATACACTTAGGACTGTTGCAGCATGGTCACATGATCAAAATTTGAGTGCTTGGCAACTGGCAGGTATTTATGTCTGTTGCACTGTACTGGGGGTCATATGATCACCATTTGTAACTAGTTGGCTTCCAACAAGCATAGTCAGTGGAGGAAGCCAGATTTGCTTAATGACTGCATGATTACTTGATAACGGCAGTGATTTATTTAACAACTGTGGCAAAAGAATCGTAGAATGGGGCAAAACTGACTTAACTCTACTTTCCTTAGCAACAGAAATGGTGAGATGAATTTAAGTCATAACTTGAGAAATGCCTATAAGTATTACACAGACACAGACACAGACCCAGGCACACACACACACACACACCACTCACTATATTTAATGGTCCTTCAGTAGAGAGAGGCAGAGCAGAGGGAGACCCAACAAAGAATATTTCTGTCATGTTTAACTTTTCTATAGACTGCACACCTAGCTGACTTCTGATAAAAACAGAATGCTAGATTAAAAGAATTCTTTATTTGAACCAAGACTAAATCTCTTTGAACATTAAATATAAGAAAGTTGTGTATGATACTAAAAAGTGTGGAGTACAGTTTTTCATCATATAAAGGTGGCTTAATTGCTGATTGAATTTCTTTTTAGTAATTCTTCATTGAATTTTTTAGCCTTGTAGACATCAATCCCAAGAGTAATGGAGTTTAAATTGCCCTTTGCCCTTTACTGAAAAGAGAATTTAGGTAATTTCTTTGGACCAAGATTATCTCACATTAGATGACTCAAGAGCTTTGTTGCCTAATTTAAGTGCTTTACTTATTAGTTGATTGAAATAAGTAAGTTAAAAGTAAATATCCTGTTTAACTTACTTAGAAAATAAAGAAGATGAAAGCATTCAACGGGAAATAATGTCTTCAGCTGTAGTGGAGTTTTTCTGTTTAAACAAGCCTGTCTTTTCTACTGTTTACATATTTTAGTTACTCCATACTTGAAGGAGTAGGCTAATTGCAAGATTGGAGACAGGGACTTTTTTTTGTTCTTGGTCAAACAACATTGTAAAATTAGAAGGGAGACATATGAAAAACTGCCAAATTTGTCTTGGCAGAGATAACTCAGTTGCATGTACATGCTATCAGGACTAATCACTTTTTTTAAAAAAATTGTTTTTTCTCTTGGGAAAAAACAACATAATATTTTTAGCCAGTAAATTGGCTTTCTGAGTTCAGTAATACCTTTCTCAGTCTTTAACAAGTTAACTTAAAGTTGTCAGTAAAGGAAAAGGTTCCCCTCACAAATAAGTGCTAGTCGTTCCCAACTCTAGGGGGAGATGCTCATCTCCGTTTCAAAGCCAAAGAGCAAACGCTCTCTGAAGACGTCTCCGTGGTCATGTGGCTGGCATGACTAAATGCCGAAGGCGCACAGAACGCTGTTGCCTTCCCACCAAAGGTAGTCCTTATTTTTCTACTTGCATTTTTACATGCTTTTGAACTTCTAGGTTGGCAGAAGCTGGGACAAGTAACAGGAGCTCACTCCGTTATGCGATGCTAGGGATTCGAACTGCCAACCTTTCTGATCGACAAGCTCAGTGTCTTAGCCACTGAGCCACCGCATCCTTTTTAAGTTGTCACTAGGAACACTTTTATCTAGATTTGCATTTAAATGTCTATTTAGAATGGGTTTTTTGCCTGTATTTGCACAAATCCTGATCAGCTATTCTATACTTCTTTTGTGTTGGATATCTGATTGATATATATCCAGAATGATGGGAATGTAGAGAGTTGTTGTTTGTTTTTTTGTCATAAATTGTTTTCTGAACTATTCTGTAATAATTGTAGACCTAGGTTTTTCTCTAATCAGGGCCCCCTTCACAAAGAATTGTTGTTGGCTTTCCTTTTTCTAGTTTTTGTTATTGTTTTGCAGGGAGAGATATGAGGATATGGAAGAATGAGGTAGAAGGCTAAGCAAAGCAAATATATTTCATGTAGAGCAATTGGCTGAAAAGAAGAATGTTTTGGCCTGTCTGGCATTACTTCTCTCGTGATACTGAAACTAGCATACGTCTTTTTTTTAAAGCAGTGCCAATTAGGTCAAGACATTCAACATAATATGTAGATATGTACTAAATTAAGGGCCTTCCTAATGCTGGAGGATATCTGGCTACAGAAATAATGCTTGATTTGGTGAAACATAGGGTACATAACAAATAGGGGGCATTTTATTTTGCACAGTTTGATATGAACAGAGTTGGAGAGGCCTTTTAGGAGTTTGGAATATACTTAAGGGAGATAGTAGCCCAGATTCTGAAGATTAGTTACTAACTGTAGAAATCATAAGTCAGGAAATGAACTGGAAGCCTGACAATTTCCTTTTTTAAAGCAGCTGCAGATCTTTTGTGTAAGGTAAAGTAAAATCATTGCAGAATGCAGCAGAGTAATATTGAAAAATCTTATAAATAAACAATAACTAGGAACATCTCTACATATTTATGAAATATAAAGACTTATTATAATGGCAGTAGTAGTCAGTAGTAGATAGTACCACACAAATGCACATATTCATGCTAGTTAAAATCATTTCTAAATATTCAGAAAAATCCATTGCACAAGATAAAAACTATTGCTTCAAATATATATATATATATATATATATATATATATATAGATAGATAGATAGATAGATAGATAGATAGATAGATAGATAGATAGATAGATAGATA